GTCTTTTGACAATCAATGATAGTAGTTGTTGTTTGAAGCTTATTAGAACAGGTGATCACACACTTATATATCAAGTTCAATCGGTATGTTCAAAGCTAAGACAATTGGTTATGTTCACGTGATTCGTTTCCGGAACCGTGTACTGTGTAAAATCCATATAAAGTCATCTCAGTATAGAGGGGATAATAGCCTTGATTGTTCAAGACATCTTGATCAAAATCGGTCAACTGTGTAATACAGATGCTGAAATTGCATTTCTCTGTGGTTAATAAAGCAACTGCCTGACACGATTTGAAACTACGATGCTGGATAGTGATTTTTAGTGTTTTTTAATCAATTGATCGAATGAACTATTCTGCAACCAGTTCTCAAATAAAGGAAGTTTCGTTAAGTCATCATGCCTCGCAGTGATACAAAAGGAGAACATTTATTGATGTAGATTGATGCAGTACCGTTTCCTTGTTTGTTCAAGGACCAAAAGGATATACACTGCACTACCGATATCTCACTCATAGAATTAAATTTCCGAGTTGAATTATCATGTTTTTCACCGATCACTACCCCTGGACACGGATCGCGCTGTGATACAAACCAAAAGCCTCCCGCGTTTGATAAACAATCGCATCGAACCCTTTGAAACAACGAAAGCAATATAATTCAAGTGACAATTGCGAATCAGCTTTTGGGGTGGCGATTTCCCATTACCTCTGAGTCCAGTCACCTGCTGAAGACCCAATAATAAAGGAAGCTAATCAAAACATCAAATCAGCGATTTATTCTATCATACGGTTAAGGAGCAAACGCTATCTCTTCTCGAATTTCGTTGTGTTCGTCGCTCGCAGAGTAAATCCTTCGAACACCTGTGAGAATACGTTAAACGCCAACTCGTCAATAACCTAAAGGAGGACCATTAAAAGTCACGGGTAGCAGAATGTCGGTAAATTGAGAGACAGTGCTACGACAACGGGTAACAGTTGTACTCTTCTCCGTCCTATCAGGAATGCTGGTGCTCGGAAATTAGGCTTAGGTGAAGTAGTTACGGAGTCCGACGTCACACTGATTCACATTCTGCAACACCGGTTAGAACCAGGGGCCGAACAATGTAAGGTACCTTTTTACTAGCCTCCGTCAAAACTAAATCTGCAAGCCTCTGCTCCAGGTGGTCTACCACTACCAGGTGATATCGGTCCTCCTGCTGAAATGTAGATTGGCCAAACTGCATGGAACTACTTACATCCCAGTAGACAAGATGTAAATTATTGTATATACATAAAGCATTAAAACAAGTACTAAATATAATGAAACTCCATTTGATCATAGAAAAAATATTTCAGTGCATCACAATCGACCAGTACTGTATATGGGTTACTACTGTCGACCTTTAAGGATGGAGGTTCAGTTTCGTTCCGGAATGTGAGAATACTCCTGGATCCAGTTTGGGAAATTATATAGGTTCTAGATGAACAGTTCAAATGATTCATCCTAACGATTCACACAAGGGAATATATTTTATGACAACCACGCAGGAGTTGTCGTTATTAGCATCGCCTCAAAGCCTTTTGCTAACATTATACTCTGTCGATCGTCCGCCGCAAGAGCGATCCAGGCTAGTTAGAGACTTGGTCTAGGTTGCATCGGCTATGTGTTTACTCGCTGTCCAATTCTTGGGCAAATGTCCTTCCTAGAATCACAGTTTACATTTCCATTGATCTGAAAACATCCTTCGTCTCTATCGACCGCTCTTTATCCTGGTGTTGCTTTTCCTTGAAGGTTGCCGATTCCCGTATACAAATAGCCCAAGCCGCTTTCCAGCTTACGGGTGTTTTTCGCCCTAGTTCACTTCAGTTATCCGTGTTCATTAGGGTTCAAACTGAAAACTCGGGTGATAGATTGCCTGATCTAAATAAAACAGACGGTGTTCTACCACTGAGCGAAAAACCAGATAGGTTTTAAGCTTTTCTGCATGGTTTGAATGCGGTTGTAACTATTTTCTACGTGCGTTATGTAGTTCAAATGTGTAAGATGTTACAAGATTGGGCAGGTTCAACTCCCATCTTCATTCTGTATAAAAAAGCCACAGAGGCAGTAGGGGAACTTCGCTATTTCGACAACCACATCTCACCTATGGGAGGTATCTTGAAGTAAGTGTCGGAAAGCATATAAAAGGTTTGTTTCGCGTTTGCCAGGTTGAGACATCTACGGCGTTGCCGCGACATTCTTTTACTGTGAANTCAGTGTATGCTGCAGTTTTTGTCCGGTGCTGCTGTAGTGAGTGAAGACTCGATTGTGCTACTAAGTGATGATCCAGGTAATTTGCAAGCTTTTCTGGATAGTTTGAGTGCTAGTGTTGTTATATTCGGTATGCGTTTTGCACCTTCAAAGTGTAAAATGTTACTTCAAGACTGAGTTAGTCTTACACCCAACCTTGCCCTAACTGGGGAAGTAATAGAGGAAGTAGACAAATTTTGCTATCTAGGCAGCTATATCTCACCTGGCGGACGCATCACAGATGAAGTGTCAGCTCGTATACAAAAGGCTCGATTGGTATTTGCCAACTTGAGACATCCGTGGCGCCGTTGCGACATCCGGCTGTCTGTGAAGGATCGAGTGCATGCTGCGGCAGTTCGGCCAGTTCTGCTATACGGCGCAGAAACTTGGACATTAAGGAAATAGGATAAAGATAGACCGTCGGTGTTCCAACACCGCTGTCTACGCAGCATTGCACGAATCTGGTGGGGTAGCCGGATGAGCAATGCTGAGGTTAGGGGCAGAGTTATGGATATTCGCGGTCGCCCACTGGAGCAAGTGGCAGACCTCCATAGATTACCTTGGTTGGGGCATGTGTTACGTATGTCACCAGATAAGTTTCCAGGGCGAACGATGTTTGCCAATGC